TTTGGATTCTACAAGCCAGAAAAGAGCTATGGAACTGGCAACTTCACTTGATGAATCTCTAGCAAACAGAAATCTTCAGGTAAATTTGATATATTGTCTTCCTATCAGGCAGCCTTTTCAAATTTCAAACAAAATAGCCCGTGGAACTACTAACATTTAGCAATTTTCTAAGGAGCAAAATGTTTAAGCCTTACATATAACAATATGCACAAACATCTTAACAGAATTAGCAGTTATCTCAATTGTTGAAATACAGGATCTTTTAAAACACGTATTTTTTCTTTTAGACATGCATGGAGGTATTGGAAGCATTGAATGATGGTAGCCTAGGAGACTGTAAAGAAGCAATTGAAATGTACAGAGCAAATTGTCATAAGCTTTTCCCATATGCTTTGGCTTTTATGCCTCCTGGATATGAAGAAGATATGAAGATCACAGTTAATGGAGACATATCTGCAGAAACTGAAGAACTGGCCAATGAAATATGAACTTTAAAAGGAGTGGAATGATTTTGGACTGTATCTGGTGTATAATATTTTTGTCACGCACCTGCTGAATTGTTCTAACTTACAGAGAATGGAAGGAGAAAAAAAGTTGCCTTCAAAGTTTTACTTTTTTTTATCCTGCTGACGAAGTATATAATATAAAGTAATGTATGGCTGGAAATAGATGGCTCAATTAAAGAAAATTAAAGAAAAGCTAAGCACTGCTAAAATTGAAAAGTATCCCTTATCTACATACCCAGGTTTTTAAACTAATTTATATGGAATCTGAAGGCTTAACACCCCATTGGAGCAGGTGTGTGGCATAAATATTACTTTAAATTTGTCTTGTTGAGATAAGTATCTCAGACAGCAAAAATGCTGTTTTAGCACTGGATCCTTTTCACTGAGCACAAAAAGTTGTTGGGGCTTTAGCATCTGACTGATTTTGATACAGAGATGATTCTACCCTTTGAAAGTATGCAATGTGAATCACTATTTGCAAACAAACCTGCAACACATATTTAATGTTGTTGTAGAGACTGGGACTTAAAATATGAAGCAAAATAACGAAACATAAGGTGTTCAGTAAGCTTGTTGTGTCTCCGAAATTCACTGCACGTGATCAGTTTGGTGTTCTTGCACCACAGTTTTTAAATGAAGGAACTGGTTAGAATATATTTTTTTTAATTCAGTTTTGGAAAAAAAATTGATGTTTAGGAGATGAGAATGACAACATTGTTGGCTAATTTTTTTAAAAAACTGTAATGCAAGAACAAATGAATTATGCACTGTGATGTGGCACCAACTCATTAGAAAGACAGCATGTAGTTTTCACGTACAGTGAAAATATAAATGATATTCATTCAACTATGGATTGAAATTTTTAAGAGACGAACTCCTGACTCTGAATTTGACTGATTGAGAGACTAATTGTTTAAAACCTCAGCAGGCCTTGTTCACGTTATGCAGGAAAAAAAAGTGCTGCAGTTTAGATACCTCTGAAACTTTTCCACAGTGTCACAGGTTTGTAATACTTGAAGCCCTACATTTCTAAGAATATATTTCTTGCTCAGTTATTTCAGGCAAGCCCATGACTTTGTAACTTTTAAGGGGCCCAAGATTTTTTTTCAATAACAGACCAGCTTCTTATCCCTGCAGTTACAGATGTAATTTCCTTTGTCAAACATAAGGTACCAAATATAATGCAATAAAATGTTTTGAAAAAGAGTTGTGTGACTATAGAATTTGAAAACTGCTGTCAGGAGATGTAGTGCAAGTTCAATGTAACATACTATCATAAAAGATTTATATTAGTGTTGGTGAAATCCCACAATGCATAATGCGACAGTGTTTGGAGACACTACCCCCCCCCCCCTTGCTCTCCTTCAATAAAGCTAACCATAATGACTGCCATTGTGAACAGTAATTTGCAACTTGGCAATCATGGGTGCTCGAATTAGTAAATACCTCTGTGAAATATATCCCCACAAAGATAATGCTAATTTATATGAATTAACAAAGTTGCAATCAGAAATCTAAAGTACAGTGTAGGAAATGTTAAAAACAAATGCAAGTATGAAAAATCAAACAGCTAACACTTTGTGATTTTCATTGTTGTACATCTCTTTAGAGATATCATTACTCTTTCTGTGATAAGAACAATTTAAAAGATAAGTATTGACTGATCATTCATCGTCTAGAACCTTCATCTTTTGATATATGTGCATCTAAGAAAATTGTGTGGACCCTGTGGTTAATTGCTCCCTCATTTTCATGGGCCCAGTATATCTGACAAAATCTTTTCTGTGATTAGTCAAAAGATACTGTATTAACTATATTAATACAAAATGAGAGTCAAAGGGTAAAGCCTCTCAGTTCAAAAACCTTGGTAACTTTATTATTATGATTGATTATACAAATTTATTATTTACTGTTAATGCACAGTAACAAATACTGCCTGTAGCCATGAAACTACACTGCATTCTGCATTTTTTTTAGCTAAAAACCATCCTGACAAAGGATACGTTTTTACATGAGGGTTAATTTGAACCCTTTTTCTTCCTCCAATGATAGTTGATAATTTAAAATGATCAGATATCTCAAATTCTGTAGCAACTCTTTCCAAGCTGTCATTTCATTTATACTTACAATAAAGGGTATATTATAGCCCAGGCTTTTTATAGCCTACAATTTCATCAAGACAGTCAAATTTCCAGTAAGTTTAAAACAAATTTAATGTCTTAAATTTGTAAAAAGAAAAAAGGTCCCCAAGGATTCATAACATTTTTTATAAAACTATAGAAACTACAGAGTTACAAAAATATGCTGTTTCCTCCCATTTTGCAGAAATACTGAATATTTTACAATATTGTTATTTGAAATGAAGATTAGATTTAAAGTAATTTAAAATGAGATAATCATCTCATAATTATTTAATATTCCTGGGAAGCAGAGATAGAATTAAATTCAAGGTTATCTCATCAGATAAATAAGAAAAAATCCATTCTTGATAATGCTTGTATATTTAATCACCTTCAGAGAAATTAAACCCTAGTTTAAAGTTAACTTTTTTCACATGCGACTGATATGAATGTATGTATATAAAGTATACATGTAGTTGTGGAATGGTCTGGTGCTCAAATATAAAATCCTTTTCTAAGTTTTAGGTTCTTGCACTACAACTCTGATAAATACACATATTGTCATTGTGGCTATGTGCAAATCATAATGAAAAGATTAAGACTTTGGATTGTTACACTTCTAAGATTTGAATAATGAAAAAGCTGCCTGTGCATCCAGGTGGTATACCTATCCACTCTTACCATTGGATGGGTCATTTAAGCTGGATCAGAGTTGGTCACTACACCAATAAAGACCATTAGGAAATCCCTGTGAATTATGGTAAATTTGATATTCAGAGGAGTAACCCAAAAGGAAATGGCAAAGGATTATGTTGTTGCCAAGAAACAAGTCGCCAGGAATTAAGCTTAATTTAAAGGAAATCCATTTTTACTTAAAGATTTACTATTTTATGTTAAAATTACATATTATAATTGGAAGAAGGCATCTTGTTTTTGCTCTTTCTGCAATTAAACAAATGGAATGAGGAAAAATGCAAGGACTAATAATTATAGGAGGTGATTGCTGTCCTTGGTGACAAATTGCCAGAACTGTTCTATGCTCCATCACTGTTCTAGTGTTGGTGTGCAATAGGCTTTATATCACAGGCTAAATCTGTATAATACTTTTAGCAGTTACTAGTTTATGGATTAATACTGTGATGATGATATCTGTCAAAAAAAACTAAGGCAATATAAGCCGACAACTAATATCCGAGGCTAGATGTAACCACTAGGAAGCACTCCCTACTAAAAAGGCAGTTCCTCTCCAAGATCACCTAATCCAGTGTTTCTCAACCTTGACAATTTTAAGGCATGTGGACTTCAACTCCCAGAATTCCACAGCCAGCAATGCTGGCTGTGGAATTCTGGGAGTTGAAGTCCACATGCCTTAAAATTGTCAAGGTTGAGAAACACTGATTTCCTAATCCCAGCCCCCAAAGACCATTAAAGTCTCCCTCCAAATTTATTTCCTTACATCCATTTCTTGCTTCTCCAAATTTAGGCATTGCCCAAATTCAACGGTAGGCGCTTACTAAAGCAGGGGTAGTCAACCTTGGCTCTTTTATGACCGGCTCAGGAATTCTGGGAATTGAAGTCCACGAGTCATAAAAGAGCCAAGGTTGACTACCCCTGCTCTAAAGCAAAGAGTCCTGAATCCCAGGGCGGGAGCCCAGTACTGGGCCATGGCCCGTTTGGAACCGGGCGGCGAAAACGGCAGACGGGCACGCTTGTGCGCGCAGCTCTTATTTACGTGAGTGGCTGGGACGCGCGCCTCCCGCTGCTCACACGGAACCATTTCCTCTCCCCCCCCCCACGGAAAGGTTGGGGATCCCTGCTCTATCTAGCAGTGTTTCTCAACCTTGACAATTTTAAGGCATGTGGACTTCAACTCCCAGAATTCCACAGCCAGCAATGCTGGCTGTGGAATTCTGGGAGTTGAAGTCCACATGCCTTAAAATTGTCAAGGTTGAGAAACACTGATCTACAGCACCGGATAGGAGAAAAGGAGCTAAATCTCTCCAACCCGCATCTCACCACTAGGGATCGCCCCCCCCCCACACACAAGCGCTCCCGCCTTTCTAGCAAAGGACGTCTTCCCCTCCCCCCCGTCCTCCCCCTCTCGCGGTATCTTAAGGCTTGTCGCGGCCGTTTTTTCCTATAAGGGGGAAAGAAAGGGGCGCCTCTAGTGCCTTGGAGCGTCGTGGCTCGTCCCGCCCGGCTCTCGTCGTCCCGCCCCTGGGTGGCTGTGTGGATGCCGGTGGCGGTAATCGCGTCGGGCTGAGGAAAGCTTTCAGCCACGGGCCGACGTTTCTCTGGCCGCCCGCTTCCCCCCCCCCCTGTTGGGCGGGCCCGAGGGCCTCGCAGGGGGAGTCGGAGGAAGACGCCACATCCGATGGCGGCCGACGTGGAGGCGTCGCTGGAGCTGAGTCTGTCGGGCAGCTACGCGGGCCCCGGGTCCTGGCCGCCCGCCCGCTCCCGCATTTTCAAGATCATCGTGATCGGGGACTCCAACGTGGGCAAAACGTGCCTCACCTACCGCTTCTGCGCGGGGCGCTTTCCCGAGCGCACGGAAGCGACTATCGGGGTGGACTTCCGCGAGCGAGCCGTCGACATCGACGCCGAGAGAATCAAGGTGAGCAAAGGCTGCTGGGTCTCTCCTTTTTGCCTCGGCCGTCGGCAGGCTTCGCTTAGGGCGGATAAAACTTTAATAATAATAATAATAATAATAATAATAATAATAATAATAATAATAATAATAATAATAATAATAATAATAATAATATAATAGTAGTAGTAGTAGTAGTAATGATAAAGCTGGAAGGGACCTTGGAGGTCATCTAGTCCAACCCCCTGCTCAGGCAGGAAACCCTACACCATTTCGGACAAATGGCTGTCCAGTCTCTTCTTAAAAACTTCCAGTGTTGGTGCATTCACCACTTCTGGAGGCAGGTTGTTCCATTGGTTAATTGTTCTAACTGTCAGGAAGTTTCTCCTTAGTTCTAGGTTGCTTCTCTCTTTGGTTAGCTTCCACCCGTTGCTCCTTGTCCTGCCTTCAGGCACCTTGGAAAATAGCTTGGCTTCCTCTTCTTTGTGGCAGCCCCTGAGATACTGGAACACTGCTATCATGTCCTTCCTCATCCTTCTCTTCATTAAACTAGACCAGTGTTTCTCAACCTTGTCAATTTTAAGGCATGTGGACTTCAACTCCCAGAATTCCACAGCCAGCAATGCTGGCTGTGGAATTCTGGGAGTTGAAGTCCACATGCCTTAAAATTGTCAAGGTTGAGAAACACTGAACTAGACATACCCGATTCTAGCAGCCTTTCCTTATATGTTTTAGCCTCCAGTCCCCTAATCATTTTTGTTGCTCTTCTCTGTACTCTTTCTAGAGCCTCAGCATCTTTTTTACATCGTGGTGACCAAAACTGGATGCAGTATTCCAAGTGTGGCCTTACCAAGGCAGAACCACCCGTGCCATAGGTTCGCCACCACTGCTATAGCATTTCAGACAAATGGCCGTCCAGTCTTTTCTTAAAAACTTCCAGTGTTGGAGCATTCACAGCTTCTGGAGGCAGGTTGTTTAATTGTTCTAACTGTCAGAAAATTTCTCCTTAGTTCTAGGTTGCTTCTCTCTTTGGTTAGCTTCCACCCATTGCTCCTCGTCCTGCCTAAAGGCGCTTTGGAAAATAGCTTGACTCCCTCTTCTCTGTGGCAGCCCCTGAGATATTGGAACACTGCTATCATGTCCCCCCTCGTCCTTCTCTTGGGGGGAAAAAAAACTTGGGGCGGGAAAAGTTCCGGTGGGCCGGGAAACCCTCCGCTTGGCTCGCGGAACGAAGACCGTAAAGCTTGAGATGGGAGCCAGCAACCCTGCTGATAACCCTCATTCTGCTACTGTGTGTGAGGATGGCACAGGTTTATGACACGTGATAGAAGAGTAAAGGCAATTGGTTCTGCCTTGGTAAGGCCACAGTTGGAATACTGCATCCAGTTTTGGTCACCACGATGTAAAAAAGATGTTGAGACTCTAGAAAGAGTACAGAGAAGAGCAACAAAGATGATTAGGGGACTGGAGGCTAAAGCATATAAGGAAAGGCTGCTGGAATTGGGTATGTCTAGTTCAGTGTTTCTCAACCTTGTCAATTTTAAGGCATGTGGACTTCAACTCCCAGAATTCCACAGCCAGCATTGCTGGCTGTGGAATTCTGGGAGTTGAAGTCCACATGCCTTAAAAATGTCAAGGTTGAGAAACACTGGTCTAGTTTAATGAAGAGAAGGACGAGGGGGGACATGATAGCAGTGTTCCAGTATCTCAGGGGCTGCCACAAAGAAGAGGGAGTCAAGCTATTTTCCAAAGCGCCTGAAGGCAGGACAAGGAGCAAGGGGTGGAAGCTAACCAAAGAGAGAAGCAACCTAGAACTAAGGAGAAACTTCCTGACAGTGAGAACAATTAACCAGTGGAACAACCTGCTTCCAGAAGCGGTGAATGCTCCAACACTGGAAATTTTTAAGAAGAAACTGGACAGCCATTTGTCCAAAATGGTATAGGGTTTCCTGCCTGAGCAGGGGGTTGGACTAGATGACCTCCAAGGTCCCTTCCAACTTTATCATCATCATCATCATCATCATCATCATTATTATTATTATTATTATTATTATTATTATTATTATTATTATTGTGTCTCGCCCTTTTCCTTGACTTACGTTGTGATTTTTTCCAACAGAGACAAAACGATAAATTCTGTATTAGTTAGGAAGTGAAGATTGCCTAATGCAGTGGTTTTCGGCCTTTTTTCAATGATAGTGGCTTAAACGTGGGGCTCCTGTTCCATTGCCTACCACTGTATTTGCCCCAAGAATGCACAGCAACAGTGGGTTGAATTACTGGATAAAGGGGAATTTATAAGGACCTACAATCTTATAATAATAATAATAATAATAATAATAATAATAATTTAATTTATATACCGCCCTTCTCCCGAAGGACTCAGGGCGGTGCACAGCATATTAAAATAGGTACAAGTACAAAATACAAAAAATACAAAAAATATAAACCCCTATAAAACCAAATTAAAAGCCAAATATTAGAAGCTGTGTTTATATTAAAATTATTCTTAAAATCATCCCTAAATAAAATCCTCCCTAGGTCAGGCCCGCTTGCTGGAAAAGCCATGTCTTGAGGGCACGGCGGAAAGTAAGGAGATCCGGAATCATCCGGATCNTGGCAACCAGTGCAGCTCGCGCAGAAGCGGTGTTACATGGGAGCGACGAGTCCCTCCCAACACCGCCCGCGCGGCCGCATTCTGGACCAGTTGAAGTCTCCGGGTGCTCCTCAAAGGGAGCCCCATGTAGAGAGCATTACAGTAGTCCAGGCGGGAGGTGACGAGAGCTTGAGTGACTGTGCGCAAAGCGTCCCGGTCCTTTCTTGTCAAAAGACAACTTTTTGCAATTACAAATTCAATCAAAGGTATTAATAGATCAGCAATTTCCAATTTTTAAAATTTACTATTATGTATTATTTATTTTTATTTAATTTATATAGTTGCCCATCTCACATGCATGACCCTAAGTGGCTCATAAAATTTATATAATCTAACAACAATGGCCTTGTCAATTCCTGGTTAGATCACTGCAATGTGCTCTAATGGAGCTACCTTGAAAAGCAAAACTCTAGCTGGTCCAAAATACAGCAGATTATTTGTTGGCAGGAAGAAGTTGCAATTCTAATGTAAACCTAGCACTGCAGGCTCTGCACTGGCTATAAGTAGACTTCTGGGTACAATTCAGAATGCTAATTTAATCTGGCTTTGTATCCTGGTAGTTGCAGGAACACTTACTTCAATTAGATCCTACCCATTCAATGTCCCAAAGGTGCTTTTTTTACAAGGCAACTGGACTTTCTTGTTTTTCTTTAAAGATGTTTCGCTTCTCATTCAAGAAGCTTCTTCAGCTCTGACTGGATGGTGGGGAATGGCAGGATTTATACTCCTTGCAGACAGCCATTCCCCATCATCCAGTCAGCGCTGAAGAAGCTTCTTGAATGAGAAACGAAACGTCTTCAAAGAAAAACAAGAAAGTCCAGTTGTCTCGTGAAGAAAGCACCTTTGGGACATCCATGATCTGGATGACTGAGAATTTCCATAGACATTTACTCATTCAATGTATCTGCCTTAAGTTGGGATGCTGAAGTTTCCTTTGTCACAGATGCTCTGGACAGCCCCTTACCAAAATTCCAGACAATTCCATCATTCCCAACCTTTAGAAAAATATTAAAAACGTAAAACATTAATGTTAATTATATTGAAAATATGTTTGTATTTAGGCAGGTACTGTAAATATGCTATCATCAGTTGTCCATTTGAAGTTTGCATTGATTGATGTATATATGTATGTATTATGGTCTTTCTCTTATTCCTGTTTGTCCATTTCTCACCTCTAGATCCAGCTCTGGGATACAGCAGGACAGGAACGTTTTAGGAAGAGTATGGTGCAGCATTATTACAGGAATGTACATGCAGTTGTGTTTGTATATGATATGACAAATATTGCTAGCTTTCACAGTTTGCCACTGTGGATTGAAGAGTGCAAGCAACACTTGCTCACCAATGATATACCCCGGATTTTGGTTGGAAACAAATGCGATCTGAGGAATGCGATTCAGGTGCCTACAGATGTGGCTCAGAAATTTGCTGACACTTATGGTATGCCACTATTTGAAACTTCTGCCAAAAACCCAAATGACAATGATCATGTGGAAGCCATATTTATGACATTGGCTCATAAGCTAAAGAGCCACAAGCCACTCATGCTTAGTCAGTTACCAGATAATACAGTTCACTTGAAACCAGCATCAAAACCTACAATGACATGTTGGTGTTAATTTGCAGTATATTTGCATTCAGCATTGTATTATTCTCTTTGCCAGAGCTTTAAGAATGCAATGTTTTGATTTAATAAGAATTATCTTCTGCTAGGCACTTTATTCAGTTGTTTCATATGTAGAAGTTTAGTATGTGCACTTGGTAAGCTGCAGCATCTAAATCAGGGGTGTCAAACATCCGGAAGCCACGCCCACCCCATTGCAAAACCGTCCCGATACGTTGTGCGATGTCACATGACATCACGAGTTTGACATGTCTGATCTAAATGAATGACAAAGTTTAGGGAACTGTTTTTGTTTTTAGGGAATTTTTTAATCTGTACAAATAGATTGTTTTACAGAAAAAATGGTCTCTTCGTTTTTAGAGCTTTTCTCCAATACAGTGTGGATATTTAAAAATGTATTAAGTCAGATCTCTGCCTTTATTGTTCAGCTTAAGAATACTATCTTTCTATGGAGGTCCAAAAATCAGTTTAAAATTATAATCCTAATTATTTGGTACATAGTTTTATGAAAATACAATGGAAGAAAGGTTCAATATGAATAAAGTATTAGAAATCTTTCCCCTTCATTTCTTTCCATTTAAAATTTTAAGTTCATTAATTTTAAAAATAAATTATGTATACAGTGATTTTTTTCTATTTTAATTTATGATAGTATTGCTTGTATTGAACGTTTCGAACTTTTTCTGTTTTGTATATATACAGGAACAAGTGATGGTTATTCCCACTATAGTGTTCCATATAATTGTTACATTTTTCAAGATAAGAGGAAAAGAATGTGAATCACCTGCATATTATTGGAAATAATACTGAAAATTGTAGCTTATTTTCTTGTAAGATGGTTACATTACTCTAGTCTAGAGGTACAGCTAGTACCGTGTTTCCCCAAAAGTAAGACCCAGTCTTACTTTCTTTGAAATCAGGTAGGGCTTGTGCATGGGATGGAGATGCAACACGGCAGCAAAACGTAGCGGACCAAGTACCAGCGCATGCCCTTTCCGTGCCAGGCCAGCCCCAGGGTGGCCATGCTGGGCATCAGCGGGAAGGGTGCCAAGGTGGGGGGTGGCAAGGCCAAAAGGGTGGCAAGGCCAATGTTCCTCCGGCTGAAGCAGGGGGGCCTTTGCCCCGGGAAGGCCGCCTTCCTGGCCAGGCTGGACCCACCTGAGAGGTGAACGGGGAGACGGCAGCCCAGGACCAAAGTGGCAGGTCGAGCACCAGAGGCTCGGGGAGGGCTCTTGCCTTCTGCTTTGCAGCTCCATTGCAGTTCTCTGCTGCTGCGGAGCTGGAGACCTTGCCACACCACCACCCAGATGCCCTCGCTTGCCTCAGGAATTTCATGTCTTTATTTACCTGACTTCCAGTCCTGTCCCATTTCTCTTTCACACTTCTTTCCTCCCATAGACCGGTACGCTCCCACAGAGTGGGTCTCCTCAGGGTGCCGTCGGCCAAACAATGTCGGCTGGCGACCCCCAGGGGGAGGGCCTTCTCTGTGGGTGCCCCCACCCTCTGGAACGAACTACCCCCCGAGATCCGGATGATTCCGGATCTCCTTACTTTCCGCCG